TGCCAAGTTTTGACACACATAAGTGAGTGTCTTTTAGGCGAGTGCTTTTCCAGTGCTGGGTCACTGAAGTGTGAAAATGTAATGTAAAACTTCAAGTTTTATGCAGTATTGGTGTTCCCTCTGGGACTGGGTGATATCGTTCTGCCAAGCACTCTGTGTGGTGGTAGATGGTGTTTGCACAAATGCTTCGATCTCTTAAGTGCTTGAAGGAGTTCGGGAATGCAGGAAAGGAGACCAGCATTGTAAAAAGATTATCAGAAGTTTCTGTGTTTCTTGGAGAAATTCATCATCTGTTCTTGTTATTGGTGCACCAATTAACAGGGGATTGTAATTTCTTTTTCTGCATCATTCACCCTTTACTTAGGAGGGGTTTCTCTCTACAATATAAGGGTTTTTTTTTCCTCTGGCAAAGGTTCTCTGACGTACACATTTGCTCTTGTATTCTTGGTTTACCAGTTTGTATATCCAGGCTTACTGTTGCCCTGTTTTGAATCTCCCCTTCTATTAGTATTTTGTTGCAACTCCTTTTGCTTTGAGGTAGTGATGAGTAGTTGGGATCCATCTTTGTGTTGCACTGTCCTGATTAAAAGAGTTCACAGAGAAAATAGGTGTTTATTGAAAAGAGGAAGAACTAAGTGGGAGCCAGATTCATCATTCAGTTCCCAGCTTTTTTTCTAGGTAATGCACAAATCAAAAGCTTGTAGCTCTCTTGTGGCAGCAGGACACACTTGTGTCTGCCTCTGGGAACTATAAACTTCTGTGTTTTTGCTGACTCTCACGTACGCATCTCTAACAATTTGTGTTCTGCTGCATGTACTTGCATCCAGAACTCTGGTAAAAATTTGTTCTGCTTTATGCATGTCTTGAACTTGGCATGATGGCTGCTCTTATTTCATGTATTTCTCAGAGAAAGCTTATTGCAAGAAAATACAATGCATAGGACCATTTGTTTGAAGATCTGCTTGGATCATGTGATATTTGCTTGAATTAATAGGATGACATAGATACTGCACTTTAGCAAGCAATGTGTTTCTTGAAAACGTAATTAAAAACTCTGTGGATTGTTTACAGACTGCCTCGTACCCCATTTGCTGTCTGTCCCCTGCAGCTTGCTGTGATCTGCAATTTTTCTGCTTTGGAGAGCAGTGTATTGCTCTCCCTCTGTCATCCAGTTCAGCCTTGCTTTGTGGCTGCATCAGACTTGCCATCTCCTTGCAGTGAATTTGTTCTCTCTTTCTTTCTTTCTTCCATGCCATTTAGCACACTCAGGTCTCTTTAAAATTCAGCTTGTAAGCAAAGTGAAGCATCACCTAAAATTGTAAAATCAGTCTTTACCCTCCCTCCTCCACCCAAAGAAAAAAACAAAACACAAAAAAAATCCAAGCAGAGGAAAAATGTGATTGAATTGCCAGCAGGTATGGTGTCTGCTGTTTGCATTTGAAATATTTACAGCACGACTACCTTCTTTCATCACGAGGAAAAGGCTGTAGCTGCTTACTTGGAGAAACCAGCTATGTCACTGTGCAGTGGCTCTGCTGACTTGTTTCAGAAAATTCAGTTCTCTCATGCTTGTAAAATGGCTTTGGGTGAGCTCCAGGAAGTGAGGAATTGTGTAAATGGAAAGAAACCAAAAGTTAGCAATCAATAAAGGCTGCAGTCCAAACTGAGCACCTCTGACTTGCAAAGTGTGCTTGTCTGAAGATTTAAGTCACTGTTACAGGTTGGACACCCAAAATTGCTAATGATGTTTTAACATATTCCTATTTTTATTTAAATTCTGGGAGAGCAGAGGAAAAAGCCTGAGAGGATGAGGGGGTAAGAGACACAAATTTTTTTTTTCCTGTTGCTGTATCTGTACACTCCTGTATTCAAAGCTGTAGCTAAACACTGAAAGAAGGGAAATCCTGCAGCCTTGCTGTGCTCCTGCAAACCTGCCTCTTCTGACCTTGTTGCAAAGGTGCCCTCATGGCTCACCAGCAGCATGCCCAGCCTCCTTTTTAGTAGCTGATGCTGACCTGTTCTCCACAGATTTGGCTAACCTTTTTTGAAACCATTTCAAAAACCTGTTGTCGTGGTTTAACCCCAGCCAGCAACTAAGCACCACGCAGCCGCTCACTCACTCCCCCCCCATCCAGTGGGATGGGGGAGAAAATCAGGAAAAGAAGTAAAACTCCTGGGTTGAGATAAGAACGATTTAATAGAACAGAAAAGAAACTAATAATGATAATGATAACACTAATAAAACAACAACAGTAGTAATAAAAGGATTGAAATGTACAAATGATGCGCAGGGCAATTGCTCACCACCCGCCGACTGACACCCAGCCAGTCCCCGAGCCGAGATTCCCCGCCCGCCCTTCCCAGTTCCTAAACTAGATGGGACGTCACATGGTATGGAATACACTGTTGGCCAGTTTGGGTCAGGTGCCCTGGCTGGGCATGAGAAGCTGAGAAATCCTTGACTGTAGTCTAAACACTACGGAGCAACAACTGAAAACATCAGTGTTATCAACATTCTTCACATACTGAACTCAAAACACAGCACTGTACCAGCTACTAGGAAGACAGTTAACTCTATCCCAGCTGAAACCAGGACACCTGTTTTGTCCTCTCTCACATCCTGTGGCAGGGAGTTCAGTATTATTTTCTGTTGTGTGCAAAAGTACTTCAGCTGCTGTAAGCGTGACTTCGTGTTGCTTACATGTACCAGGAGTGTTCCTGAACAAGCACAATGTGGTCCACTGTATACATACTGTTGTACGAGCCGAATTCCTCCTCAGGCAAAGACAGGTCTCATCTTTCCTCCTTAGTCCCGTCGTATGTATGTACATGCCTGTGTCCTCATTGCACAGCATGAGACATAAATTCCACTGATTCAAAGCTGTTGCAGTAAACTGCCCACCTTACTTAGCTAGAAATTTACTTGGTTTGTATGTTTCAGGAACTTTTTTTTTTTTTTACTACTGCTCTGAACTTAATTTGCAGTATATTTTGCAAATGTGTTCTTCCTGTAGGTGACTTATTACTTCTGGATGCTGTGCAAATAGCAGCTATTCTACTTGTGTCAAAAGCTGCAGAAAATGCTTATTGTTTCCTTAATGTGCCATTACCTGGGTAGCACATATGCACTGCATAAAGGAGAGAAGAGAACTACTTGTCTGCAAAATTAGGAGTTGCACAGCTTTCACTCACCAAACAGCAGTTTTTTTGTTCATGAAACAGCGAATTCTTGGGAGGCAATCATCCCTCTGAATTTTAGGCGCTTCCCATGTTGGCATATCCATCACAGCTAGTGCGTCTGTCTGGATAATCAATGGGAAGAAATGAGCTCCTCTGCAATGCATTCACATGATCTATGCTGGAGGCTCCTTCTGAAGGTGATAAATTGCACCCTGGAAGTGCAGTTCAGTGAGCCTGGCCAGCTCAGATGTAGACATCTCCATTGTAGCCAGCTCCCAGAGCATGATTCATCTCCTCTAGAAGTCTGCAGTGCAGGCATCTCCAGTACAGACAATTGATCCTTTGCACTCTGCTTGTACTCTTTGGAGATCAGGGGAGTTCAGGGCATGATTTATCAGGTCGAATATTTATACCAGTTTTATGTGAGAAGACTCTCACATGTGCCCCACCAACACTTGTAGAAGTGCAGGGTGACTAGCTCCCATGGATGTACCTACGAATAGTCTGAGGAACCCCCAGTTAAGTGACACGTCTCCACTGAGCGCTGGAGGTCAGTCCACATTTGGCTGCACAGCTAAATCAGCACTGCACATGAGATTGTGAAGGTGGATAAAAGCCATTGTGGTAGATTATTTTAGAGTGATCCAGATTTCCTCATTCTCTGAGGTTTTGTCATAGTGCAGCAAAGTTAGTAATCTTTCTAATAAATGTCTCAACTTACTGGATCAGATACAAAATCTGTTCAGCCCATTACCTTTTCCGTGAAAGTGGTCTGTAGTGGAGAACCAGGAAAAGAGTCCAAGAACAAAGTAAGCATATTCTTTGATAGATCTTCATACCTCACTTGGCTAATTATTCTTTGAACATATCTAGATCTTTGATACTCTGTTAATCTGTGGCAGTGATAGACCTACAAAAGAACATTTCAGGCACCTTCATCCTTGTGCAGTGAGACAGTGTTAATAATCATTCCCTATTAACCAGGCTGAAGAGTCCAATCTAATTAATCTTTCCTAAGAGGGAAGCCACTCCACCACTACAGAAATCAGACTTAAGGCTGTGCGATCCCTGACTGCAGGACCACTGCCAAATTCCTCTCCAGTTCTCCACAGTGAATGCCAGGGCAGAGAGTTCAACTTATATTTTTTCATGCGAATAGTTCTTTTGAAATCTCCCAGGTTTAATGAAATCTAGTGGTGACCAGCTCTGTATTTTAACTGTGCAGTTTTCAGTATTAAGGAACTTGGTTTACTCTGGTGTGTGAAGGTCGTTTATTTAATTTCATAGCTTTTTTTCAAGGTGTTTTGTCTTTATAAGATGCCTGCAGTTCAGCAGGTTTCTAACATGATGGGATTCATACTGATGAAGACAGCAGGTTGCAGCAATATGATCATGAATATAATGACAGGAAGGAGGGTCTGAGGAATGTGCCAATGCAGGATTTCTGTTCCTGAGATCTTTATCTGAATGAGGGGTGGTTTGTGGTTGTTTGGGTTTTGGGTTGTTGGTTTTTTTTTCCTTCTAATGATACAATGACACGGGAGCAAATAATATACTAAATAGCTGCACCTTTTTTAACAGAACATGTCCAACACTAAATACTTTATTTAGAGACTCTAGGGAGAATGTAATGCGAGCATTTGTGTATCATATGCTCACAGGAAAGTTGTCCCAAAGCAGAAGATGATAGTCTTGGTAGATGGAGCTAAAATGATTGTTGTCTATATGAAAGAGAATAATAGCTTAGGAGCTCGCAGAGACAGGAAAGCAGAGCATCTGTTTTTATTTTAACCTCTTCTGCCCTTTATTTTTTTTTTCAGGTCATATCTGACTCCAGTGCGGGATGAGGAAGCAGAATCACTGAGGAAGGCACGATCCAGGCAGGCCCGACAGACTCGCAGGTCTACACAGGTAAAGAATGGAAATAACTTGTGTTTGTGTGTAGGATGAAGAGAGCTGATGAATAGAGAGTCAAGATTTTCTTTGCTCTTATATTATTACTTAGGACAAGGGGTTTGTCTACCCTCACACTGTGTTGGAGACGTTCTGGCAAAAGTTCCTGCAAACAGTTATTAGAAAATACTCCCCCAAGCATACACGAGTTAGATTTCTGCAGGATACCTGCCTTTTAGTTTGTAGCTTGATCACGTATATTTGAGTTCCTTTGAGTTGGTGATTATGTCAGTACACTGAGAAATGTGTTAAAAGCTACAGAATTCTTTTCTTTCTGTTAGCATAGAGATGAAACATTAGCCTGGCCAGGTATAAGCCTGATGGGTATTTTAAACTGAGCTGGTAGACTTGAAATCTAATTGCATAAATTCAAAAATTCTCTCTCTTACTTTCTCTCCAGGGTGTGACACTGACAGACCTTCAGGAGGCAGAGCGAACCTTCAGCCGGTCTCGGGCAGAGCGGCAAGCTCAGGAACAGCAAAGCGAGAAAGCTGAGAGCACTGAGCCTTCTGAGGACAGCAGTGAGAGGCAGGAGACCCGGTCACGGTGGAGCAGAAATACAGATGAGGAGGTGATACTCCTGGCCTCAATTCTCATTGTTTGAGAGTTAATGAAACCATTTAGGATAGCTGAGATCAGGAGAAATTGTTTTGGGGATGTCTGTTTGTTTTAAGGGGAGGCAGACTTGCTGGAAAGAAATAATACTGAAGAGTAGTACCTCACCTCAGCAATCTGCACAAGGGATGTGAATATGTAGGTGTTAGAGGCTAGCTGTTCCTTTGCTCTCTGCTGGGAATTTCATTTTTCTGTCTCTTGCCAGAAAATAAAACTGTGTAAATCACAGAAAGTGGAATGAGAAGGCTAATGATAGAAATGTGGCCTGGATCCATCCTTGCTGTGCAGGCTGGACTGAGGCTTTGTGTTCACATTTTTCCACAGATGTTCTGTGTGTAATGGAAAGCTAGAGAGACCAGTTTTCTCTCTCTCCCATCACTTCTGGTTTTTCACTCTAACTCATTTGTTTCTATTAGATAACTTGTTCATCCTGCCATTGGCTGTGGGGACAAAGAGATTGATCCCAGACTTCCCAGCAATGGGAGGGTGCTCTCACACCGTAGCTATACAATGCTTTTAACATTCATCCCCATCTGATGGAATGAACCTGATCTGGTGGATGGAGGTGATCACTTCCAGCAGCAGTGAAGAAAACAGTACATTCTAAAAGATTATCCAGTTCCCCAAAATCCCAAATCTGCTAGTCCCTTTTCATTCTACTAACTTTTTGTCATGGTTCTTTGTTTATAGAGTGTCTATCGGCGATTAAGGTGCCCTGTACAACCAGACAAACCTACGACACCTGTATCTCCTTCAACATCAGCACCTCTCCTTTATACAAGTTCATACTTGACTCGAGCAAATAAGTATCTAGGTCTTGACTCTGTGAATCCAGCAGACTTCAGAGGTGCAGCCACAGAGATGGAGAAAAATGGTATGTACCCAGGAGAATGAAGAACAGTCAAAGCTCAGGGATTTTCATGAGGTTTAGAACTTTCAATGAGTACAGACAGAGAGAGTAAGTTTACTTGTTCTGAGGGGAGCAGTATGGGGAGGTGCCACCTCACAAAACAAATGGGTTTTGTTTAAATGGAAATCCCAATGTAGGATATAGCCTATTGCTTGTAACAGAGAGGGATAAAATGATGTTTTACATTTGGGGTAAGTAAATGAGATAGTAATCCATGGAGTATTTAGATCTTAAAGCTGGGATTCCCCTAGTACAGTTTGTCCTCAGAACAGGAGTCAGTTGGGATGATTTGGGGAGAGGTGACAGCTCGGGTAACCTCTCTGGGCTTTGATAAAGGAAGGAGTGTGAGTAACCAGATGTAGTAGGGCACTGAGATTCCATTTCATTTGGTTTAATAACTCCTTTGTAATATAACACAAGCCAAGATGACCTTGATTGGCTTGAAAAGAACCCCAGTACCTTAGCAAAAGCACCGATGTAAATCACTGAAACCAAAGCAGTCTTTCTTTGCTTGGCCAGAGTGTGAAGATCAGGATTTAGACGACAGATCTCCAAACAAACAGTCAATCCGAGAGAGGCGGCGGCCAAAAGAGAGGCGAAGAGGCACCGGCATCATTTTCTCAACAAAAGATGTAAGTTTGAGTTCCTTAAAGAAGAGAAACTTATTCTGTAATATTCAGGGTGAATTTCCTTCCAATTCCAAGCTTCAGATTTTTTTCCAAGTCAGTTGATTTCCCATTAGTCCTTCCCTCTCCAACTTTATTTCAGACTGGCACTTCCAAAGGAATCACATCCCTGTTTGGCCCATGTAATACTCAAGCATCAGGCTCTGGGGAGCCTGTTCCTGAACCATAAATCAGTGCCATCCTTGCAGAATTGTGAAAGAGCCCACATGGGAGAAGAGAGATTAAAAGTCTAGTTTTTTTGGAAGAAGGAGGTCACGAGCCACTGGAAGTATTTTCAAATTCCTCTGAGCCCAAATTTGGCTACGCTTTAGGGCGCCTAAAAGGAAGACCATGAGGAATAAAACCTGTGTCTGGATCCCCTACCCAGCACCAGAGAACACACACAGCATAAATGCAGAAGAGCTGTCTGTGTCATGGTCGTTACTCTTAGTCCTGGTTTCAAAAAGATTTCTTCCGTCTGAGGGAAGAAATCCAGCCCTCCAAACCTTGGTTAGAGTCTCAGGTAGGAAGATAGATCACCTTTTTCAGGAGAGTAAGTATTATGAAGTCATGGTTAAGAAGTCTGCAATAGTTCTAGTCCAGCTACAGACATATAGCCTTCCTCATACACCTCCGTGGTAGAGGCGTCCTGCACAACATAATGAAAAAAACCACAATGGTCTTCTACGGCCACAGTAGATAACGTTGAATATTTGGAGTTACAGACAAGTTGAATGGCCCTGCTGGAAACCTCAGAATTTCTATTGAAAGACTTGCTGCAAACACCCCCTTTTTATTATTTTCAAATAATTCTTACTTTTTTTTTCACTTGCATGCCATATGTGATTATTTTTTTTCTTACTGTTTTTTTAATTAAATGCTTTACAGCTTGCCCAGTTGTCTACTGGATCATTGTAGCAATATTGCTAGCTTCAGAGCAGAAGGCAAATCACTTCTCGAAGTTTTAGTTCATTTCCCCGTTGTAGCTGTAGTTTCATATAAAGACAACTTCTGGAGTACCTTGAGTTCAATATGGAGTCAGATGTGATGCTATGGTAGTTTATCATTGCTCCATGAAATCCTGGAGCTGTTACAAAGAGGCAGTGGGTTACACAGAGGCTGCATAAGTGCAAGCTCTCTGTGATGACTAGTCTTTCCTCTGGAGTCTAACTGAAGTGGAGGATATTCTTTGAAAGTCAGTATTATATCAGCATTTCAGATACGCAGTCTTCTCAAGTGTCACATTTGCTCCCTAAGTATATTAAGAAGTGTTACTCCTTCTCCTACTGACTTTTCAGGAGCATTCAAATTGCGGTAGCCATCACGAGAGAGTAATTCTGTCCCCACTACCAAGATCTTCTAAATGGTCTTTAATGTTACCAAACCTGATCTGATAATCAGCCAAAAGCATTTAGATGGGCATTTCTTTTGATAGAAGCATTCTTAGCTTTGATATCAATTCATAAGCAATACATTAACTTCCTGTGATAAAATTTTGTTGTCTCCAAGGCTGCCTAATTATATTGTTTGCTTTTCATCCTAGGATGATGATGAAGTTGATGGAAATGAGGAAGTGAAGGAAACTCGGGTAAGTGAAAACATATGTCTAAATAGTTGGTGTTTCACTCTTGCGCTTTGGTGGCAAGCAGTCTTCTATGGCTTTACTCTCATTTATACAAGAGATTCAGGCTCTGTTCAGGAGCTCGGTATGAACTGGGAGGTAGTTCTGAGTAGCAAACTGCTTACTGATTTCTCATCTGAAAGATAAAGAATATCTACAGACTGGCGTAAATTCAAAAGTTGACTTTTCAAGAGCTGCATAGGCAGCTCTCAAACCTGGAGGGACTGCAGCAGAAGCAGGGGTGAGTGCCTTACTGAGAGCACTGTCAGAAGCTGTGATGGCTGGGGAACATGGCTGTCAGGTGTCCTGAGGAAGGTGCATGACCTTGTATCTCAGAATCGTCCTGATGCTGTTATTTTGAACAGTATGTTTTGAATTTCTAAAATCTACGCTTTTGTCTCCTCATGGATTTGTTTTCTTGTGGGAAATTGCCTTGGCAAGCAACACACCAGAGATTGTTCATTGTTCCCCTGTTCTTGCAATAGTGTCATTATCCTTCGAGGCCCTTTATTTCCTTTCATAATAATTATTGAGTTTGTCCAAATTGCCTCGGTTTCATTTGGTTTTGTCTGTCTTTGTCTAAAACACATTTGAGCCTGACAACATGACTGACTTTGACAATGTTAAAGCTAAATACATTTGCAGACTATTAAAGCATGATGTGCAAGACCTGGGAAAAATAGCAAATTTAAGGTTGCATAGGGGTCAGCCTGCTTGTGTGACGTTTAATTTTTGCCATAAAATGTTGAGCTTGCAGTAGCCTTTCCGCATACTTTGCAATTCAGTAGTGATTGAAACATCATTCTGTTGAAATTAACTGGTTCTTTGCTGAAAATTTTCGGTAACTCTTCAGAGTATATTTTTGTTTTTCTTTTTGCAATACTCGGTCAAAATGGGGCAAAGTCACGGTGAGCCTTGTGGGGACCAGAGACTCACATGGTGCTGGGATGGCTCTTAGCATGTGCTTATCTTTCAGTGCCAGCCTTTGCTTTCCCAGTGCTTACTTTGCAACATGAAATGTGGGATATTCCTTCCCACAGAAGCACCACCTGCTTTGAGTAGCCCAGCTCTTCCCACAGGAGTTTCTGTTCATAGCAGTATAGAGCTTCGTTAAATCTTCCACTTAACCCTGCATTCAGCCATTTATCATCCTCAAAATTGTTTTGACATTTCTGCTGTCTCACAGTAAGACTGAAGGACAGATATTTTGTAATGTGTAAAAGTAATAATAATAGGGACGCCTTGTTACTAGCAATCATGTCTTGGACTTGCTGGGAATGTCTTTTTCTTCTGGGAAGTTGTCCCAGATTAGCTAAATTAAGACAAAAGAGTATCTGAGGCTGCAGGTTTGGAAGCTTCCTAGAGTCTAGTACTAAAATTGCTGAAAACTCTGTTAAGCACAATCCTCACCACTCTGGTAAATGGGTAAACTGCATTTCGTAAGACCCCACCGTATGTTCCTGCCCAAAAGTTCAGGGTCACCTGGTCTCTTACAATTAGTGATATTCTTTTTCCCCAAATTAATAGCAAGGAATCCTTTTGTCTTATATTTCCCACAATTTTCTTGTGGGTTCCCATCTAATAGCAGAGCAACTTCCCTTCCGTTCCCTCAGCCCCTTTGCGCACATGCTTTGTGGCAACAGTCCCCTATCTTCTTATGCACCTCACATATGTTAGACCCAGGTTTAGACTCTCCTTCCACTCTGCTGGTGCTGTTTTTCCCATTCTCCCAGTCCTCTTGTTTTTATCCAGCTTCCACTTAATTTTCTTTACTGCATGCCTCCAGCATCATGTCACTTGGTCAGTCATCCCTGGTTTATTTTACATCCAGATCAGAGAGATTTCTGTCCTGCTAACTGGCCATCATCACTTTGGCAAGAATCATGGAAGAGCTTCTTGCTTTCAGTTCTAGTACCAAGCAGGAAGTACAATTAATAGTAATTTAATTAATAATAGTAATAATAATAATTCTAGAAGGGCAGATGCCACCATCAGAGTTCTCAACATGAACACATTAAAGTGTCCCATTTTAGTTGCAGACCCCCCAAAATTTTCCTGATTTTATGTGAGCAGTTATTTTTTCCCTAATATCTTGGCTGATATTAGGAAGATTTTCATGGCAGCCAAAAAAGGCCCTACTTGAATTCCCTCCTCCAAACTATGCAGCACTGGAGTTTAGCAAGGGAAAGGTAGATGTGATTTTTGAAAAAGGAGCAAACACATGTTGGTTTAATTCTCAGAAGTGGATGAATTATTTTGGCTGAAACTTATGAGCACCAGCGTGGGAAACCAGCCCAGACGCTTTGGCTGAGTTTTAGGCAACTGCGAGCAGTCTCGTAATAGGATGTGTCAGGCAACCTTCATGTGTTTTGCTACCAACCCCGCCTTTCTGCTTGTGATGCAGACTGCTTGGATGCATTGTGGAAAGTTGGAAGAGCAGACAAAGTTTTATTGTGGAATAAATGTTCAAGGGCACAAGGACTTCAGCTGGAAAAAGCCTCTGGGGAAGCAGCTTTAGGAGAGTTTTTTGCATGGTTCCACTGGGAAGGCTATGTAAAGGAAAAAGCCTTTGTTCAATCTGGGGAGACCTGAGCTCAAACCAGAGGAGGGTAGAAAAGTTTGGCCACAGTCTAGCCTCCATTTCTCAGAAAGTAAAAATTGCAAGAGTCTGAAAGATCATGTTAGTACCCAGCTGAGCAGTGTGGGTAGGCTGGCATTAGGAAACTTTTCCTGCTCCCTGCAAGCCAGTGACTGTGAAATATCAGCAAGAATTCAGTTGTAGTGAAGCCAGTGAGTATGAATACAATACAATCAGTGCAGGTATAAATCAGTGGCTCTAGTTTGGGATGCAGCATTTGAAAGATAGTGATGAAGACTAAAGAGAATGGTCCAATGTTACATTTTGGAGAGGGTTTTCCCCATCCCTGGCTCTTCTGGCTTTGACTTATACTTGACTTCTGCCATTGCTATTACATAGCAGGAGAAATTGGGGATGAATTTGGAAGAAAAGTGTACTTTAAATGACATACTATACATAACAGAAATAGAAAAATGTTTGTAATCATTTAAAGAATTTTATCTCCTTGCATTTCTCTTCAGTGGCATTGCAAATGTGCCTCACCTGTGTGTTAGATAGTTTGTCAAAGGAAAGCTTTAAATACAGGGGAATGCACTGAGTGTCATGTTGGTAAAGTAACAATTTCTGGGCAGTAAAAGTGTCAAAGAAAACATCTGTCTCATGAACTTTCTCTAGGACATTCTGTATAGCACAGTATAAAACCCAGACACATTAATGGAATTAACTTTTATGCAGGAATAACACTGAAACATATGATTATGGATTGTGATCACAGTAAGTGTATTAAATAGGCTCCATTCCTGTCTGCCTGTACTTCAATTTACAAAACATGAGTAGTTTACATTCTGCAAAACACCATTCAAGCCCACTCTGCTTTGTAAATATTATGTGTTCTGCCTAATTGTACTATTAACATGAAATCACCAGATGCAACTGGATACTAATAAAAACTAAATCTCTATCTTAGAAGGACTGAATTTCTAAGCTTGATTCTGTGAATTCTAAGGGAAGACCAATGAACTGGAAAATCCCTTAGGCAAACTAAATGTCTTAATGTTATAGCTGTTTCAGAGTTATGCCTTGGGAATCTTGATTTTGGTATGTTCTATGTCTCACCTATATTTTTGCTTTTAGTGGCATTTTATCTTCCACAGAGATTCCCATTTAGCTTCTGTAATCATGGTGATTACCTTTTTTAAAAGATGGATTTGATAAACGACTAAAAGATCAGAAATAGCTTTAGTTAATGTTTTGTGACTTGCCTGTCATAGCCAGACTGCATGTATTGGGAGCCCTAGGAGTCATAGCAACTACCCCAGATCCCACTGTTTTATTGCCCTCTTTCCCCAGTGCAGCGCAGTGAAGCGTGGCACTGTGCAGGCTGTAGACATGCCTGAGGACTGTCTTTTTAAGCTAAGGAAGGCTCCGAGTCTTCCACTTTCTGGACTCACATTGCCTAATATGGTAAGGTATGTCTTCATGGGCTGCGCTGTTTTGCTGAGATACAAGGGAAAGTTGACTAGTAAAAGGGAACAAAATAGGTGAACTTCTTGCTAGCTGCTAAGAAAGTAAAATCTTTTAATCTAGGTAGTGCTATATGGTACTCTTCGTCCTGTGCCTTACTGCCACTAGCCCAGGGTCCCTTCTGGGGACTAAGGATACAAGTATTTTTCCCTGGTTTTACCCTTGAATATTTACTTCTAGCATAGATGCAGTGTGATGTGGGAGGGAAGCCATCTGGCCCATGTCCAAGGTAACGTAGGTGGTACTGTGCGTCACTTGCATGACTATAGTTAAATTATAGAGCGTTTAATTTTGTGTAATGTAAGGCTGTGAGAGATTGGCTCTGTTTAGTCCTGTTTATAAACAAAATGCTATAAGGGGTTTTGTATGCTGCAAGGAAAGGAGATCTTTAATATGTGTATAACTAGCAATATAAAATAGCAGAAAATTGCTGCCAGAGCATGAGCTAACGTTTTGCCATAGAGCTTTAAATATGGTGAAGAATGGTTTTATTGTTTGGAGCGCCCTGGGTTCTTTGGGAGGTGGAGAGGGAAGACACTATAGAAATTTAAATTCATTCTGCAAGTATTTCTACAAAAAATTTCACATCTGCACAGATGATTTGCCTCATGAGTTCTCCAGCCTAATATGCTTGTGCTGGTTTTTCTTAACCTTAATGTTTTGAGAAGGGCATCAGACTTGCTGTCTACTATCCCTGTTGATACAGCATTTAAATCATCAGCATGGCTGCTCAGTTCCTATTTACAGCTCTGGGAAAACATATTGTTTGTGCTTAAAGCCAAGCAATCCAAGTCTGCTATGTAGACTACAGGGTTACAGCTAAATGCATTCAGGTTAATTCCTCTAATTCACCGAGTTGCTGAAT